CTACCAGAGTGATTGCTGTGGCTGACCAACAGTTCAAAACTAAAAGATATAAAGTTTATTATCAGAACACCATTTTATTATTGCATCTAAACCCACAACAACAGCAGATAAAAAAAAAAAAAAAAAACATCACCAGCTACTATTTCCACAACTGATTCATCTTTTAAGTCATTTTTTATGCAAAGCTGACAAACATGTGATGGCTTCCCAGCTCATAAAGGCAAGAATTCACTGCTTTTCCTGATCATCCATTAAAGTAAACTGAATTATTTTTCAGTTTTGAACTGTTAGTCAGACACAGCAAGACGCTTGCTGATGTCAGCTTTTACTCTAAGCTACTGTAATGGGCATTTTTATGGTATATATACACAAAATGATTAAACTGTAAATTAAGAAAATAACCTACAGTTTAAGAGATACAGTAACAAAAAATAATTGTTATTGCAGCTCTGACTGTAATGCACAGAATTAAATTTGAACTTGTGTTGTGACAAATGAATGTTCCGTTACATCAAACAATAAAATCTAGCCTATAAAATCTTGTCTTGACAGTGAAAAACTATTATACAGATGAAACGGGACATGGCAACGAAGAGCAGCGTAAGCAAAGCAACAAAACCAACACAGAGAATTGGCCAGGCAGTTACTACATAGTACAGCGAGGTCTGTACTCCTTTATACTTCTGCTCTCCTCAAGGAGACAAGTCATTAATTAGAAAAAACTAATTCAGTCAGTCCACATTTGTCAAGAACAGTTACAAGACCAGAAATGTAAGGAAAAAAAAAAAAAACTCATTTATTTCAGAAAATGTTTTGTCAGCCAGCATGGTATAGCAACTGAAAAGAATAAAGGAGCATTATTTATTTGTGTTAGTCCCTGAGGCTTACTGAGCAGAGATAGCTCTGGTCCCCACAGCTGTGGCAGCTGATTCTGTTTCCTACTGATTATCGTCCAATAACTTCATGACATCCTTTATAGACACAAGGACAAATCCAAGCAGGCAATAAAGGCTGTAATGAAATCTATTTTTTCTGCTAGACAATGTGTCTGGCAGGCGTTTCATTTTCACAACCTGCTGACCAAAGCCAAAGTGTTTATGCGACAGGATGTGTGTCGTCTCACCTCTGAAACCGAGGTACTCTTCGTTGACCTGAATCATGAATTCACCATAAACATCTCGAAACAAGCCACTATACACCCAGTCTGACACAAACCTGAGTGAAGCACAGTAAAAACAGTTAAACACAGTCCTAACAGCCTCTTAAAAAAAAAAAACATCTATAGAGCAAGTTCTGCATATCAGTGAAATAAAGTCATGTCCTTGGGTTATATTATTCTGTTTTTTTTAGGGCACGTCTGTATGGATAGCACAGCGACTGACCGTGTATAAGGTTCACAACTGCTCTTCAGCAGCGACAGCAGGACTGGATAGTTCTCATTGCTGCAGTTATTCTGTGCTTCATTGTACAGGTAGGACAGCAGTTTAACACCCTGAGGAGAGCCACATGGCACTGAGCCGACATCCCATCTGATAGGCTAAACACAGCGGTGATGGATGACATATTGCAGTTTGCAGATAAAAGAGCACTCACCACAGGGAAGGTAGCCTGGCTTGTACCCAAAGGCCTGTCTACACAGCACAGCTCTGACAGGTACCTTAGATGGGGAAAAAGCAAACATTTTGTTGACCTGATATTTGCGCCAAGGTCCTCTCTGTCAGGACATGACTGGATGGTGGGCTGGGTTAGGCTAAGGTTCAAAAGTGTGAAATGAACATTAGGGGTGGGTTTTTGGGATCCTCAATAATAATAATAATAATAATAATAATAATAATAATGTCTTGACCTTATAATGCAAAGTGCCCTGAGATGAATTTTGGTGCGATTTGGTGCTATACAAATAAAACTGAATTGAAAATTAAACTGAAGCAATGTATGACCTCACCTGAGTTGGCGGCCAACTTTGCGGAAGAGGAAACCAACAGTCAACAGGCTGAGAGTGGGTGGAGTGCTAAGAACACATGCCCTGTAGTAATGCAGGTACTTCTGCAGACCACCTGTAAAAGCCTTGTGGAGACACACAATTGTCAGCACACATGCTGATATGAAACTCTGTTGCACAATCCTGGCATTGCCCCCAGAGGTGAATGGTTAACTCTTAAAATGTGTTAATATGTGCTGCAGTTCTCCTTGGGCTCTGAAGGCCTCAGGTTTAGGTCCTCCTGGCTGGTAAATCTCAGGAGGCCAATCACAGACCATCTGAAGATGCATATGAGGAACTGCATTTCTGGATGTGTGGGCCAATTTTTGCTGCATGCTTACACCCAGAGTATTTGTAGAGTGTGTTTTGTCCCAGCGCTTAGACCATAGTTCTTTTGTATGTTGTTCCTAGGTGTATTTTGAGTTAATCAAATATTAGTTATTTGTTTTTTCATGCTATTTTTATTCGTTTCTCTTTTTTATGTAATTTGTAGTCTTTTTGAGTAGCTTAATAAATATTGTCTTATTTCTACCCAGGGCTGTTTGGCTTGTTATTTTAGCCTGTGCTTTCCTTGAAGGTCAACTTAAGCTTCTGTATTAAGCTTTAAAATAATATGAAAATGTACAAATTAACCCTTCATCTGGTGTTATGCTACTCTCCTCTGCTCTCTACCACTTTGGATTCTTAACAACTTGTTGCAACTGTCCTAGGCAGTACATGAGTAGAGAAATGAAGGATAAGATGTGACATCTGAATGACATTAATGATGATTATGTAAACATACCTGGAAGACTAGGCCCTTCTTGTCAGCACTCTGCAGAGAGAAGTGGCTAAGCCTCAAGTAGTAGGTACCATACTGGGCCAGCTCCCCCAAAAGACGAGAAACGCTCTCTGGAGAGGCTCCCGACACGCAAACACCAGGTCTGACATCAAACTGAACACTCTGGGAAGGAGATAATACATTTACTGATGGTTGACAAAACACAATGAATAACTGTTCAGTCTAATAACACCCAATAAAATAGCCTTGCAGCAAAGACAGTCTTTGCAAAGTGCAGAATATTGAATTTTTGTCCGTGTCACCTCCATGGTGATTTCTGAAGGCATGGTTGGTGGTGTTATGATATTAGGACTGCAATACATAATCAGGTGTTTGTTATTTTGTCCTTCACATGGTTCTTTTATTAGAACTAGAAACAAAGTTCACAGACAAAGTTCCTAGACGACAGCCTTCTGGGGGAAGAAAAATAACAAAAGACAATATATTTTGTCAAGACAATATAATTTACAATGGAGTTTAATAAACACTTCTGACCATCTGAACAAAGTTTTGACCACAAATACATAGAACTTGATGCATGACTATGGCATGAGGTTACATTGTAGGGGTGTGACGGTACACTTAGCTCACAAGACAAGACTATACATGATACATGATAATGGGTTCATGAGAATGAGATGATGATTTTTTTTCACACTATTTTTAAGAAACCTCCAAAACCAAAATATATGACTGGAAAAATAGTCTTATTTGGCTGGAAATCACAAAATGCAAAACAACGCAGATGTATTTTGAAATATTTTAACTAATAATCTTCTAATGATTGTCATGCCAGTTCTTCTTTGTATATGAATTATCATAGTCAGTAAAAGACAATATGCAAGCACTGTAAAAGAACTCCTCTTTATCTCTAGTGTTTTCACTGTATGCTGTTGGTGTGCTTTTATCAATTCAGTCACTTTTACCACTTCAGTCTGACAGAGCTCTAAATTGTGTTATTGCATTTAAGAGACTAATAAATGAAGATTATAAATTGCACCTGGTTAAGAGGGAAGGTTGTGGATGCCACTCCAATCAGGACATTAAGGAGGTCAGACACCAACTGTGTCTGGGAGTCCAGGGGCAGCAGAAGGATAGGAGAGGGTGTAGTTGTGCTCACCACCCTCATCTCCCCCTCGCATAGACGATATAGCTGGTCGAAAGCCTCCCTTCCTCCTTCTGTTAGATAAAGAGACTCCCTTTTCCCTGGTGGGCTAGTGGTAGAAACAAAGTGGCATTTAGTATCTGGTACTGAGCTTGCTAAATTGCATCATTTACTGTGCTTAATTTGTCTTTGTGTCATTCTATACACGAAACATATTTACAAGTTGATCCACAAATTTCACTGCAAAAAAATGCTGATAGCTAATCAATTATTTTCATTGATCAAGCAAAAATGCCAAACATCTGCTGGTTCATACTTGTAAGAATTTGATACATTTCACTGTTTTGGATTGTTGTACACTGAACATATCGAGCTTTGGACTGTTGGTCTGACAAAAACAAACAAGTTAAGGGCATCACCTTAGACTTTGAGAACTTGTAATGGGTATTTTTCAACATTTTACAGATCAACAAGTTGATTAGTTGGTAACTGAAACCCTTAGCAAATACCATAAAACTGTTCCACAGACTGTTTGTTGGTTTGTTACATGTAGGTAAAATCTTCTATGGAAAGTAATTTGTCACATTGTTGTGATAAAGATGCTTTTAAAGTTTCTAACATGTCACTTACCAGCCAACAGACTCCCAACAGCGGCGTCTTCCAGGCTCAAATGTACGGACAGCCTCCCATATATCAATGTCTGGAATGGGGCTGGGCTCTGACTGAGAGTCTGGGGTTAGGTTAGAGGCTGACTGGAATCCCTCATCCTCAGACTGATCTAAACAGGGGGGGACCTGTGCAGACAACCAATAAGAATGATAACAGTGCAAAACCCTCAAATTCAAAGTTCATTTATAAAATTGGCACAAATATGAACACAGTAACTGAGTCTGACCAGGTTATATGACAAAATCTGGAGTAAAACAACATGTATTAGCTTAAACAATAGACTAAGACAAAGTCTCATACCCTGATAGCCAACCCAGTTATATCAATATTACTGGGAACAGGAGGCAGGTCCAGTCGTATGTCTATGTCTGAAGTGCGAGTGTGTTGCAGAGCTCCAAACAGCGTCATCCTGGTCTCCTTCTCAAATCTTTCTTCCACTTCCAATTTAGTCCTCAGAGCCAGCAATCCTGTACCCGGAGGGGCATCCATCAACCTCTGAGTTCCACACAAACTCTCCAAAGTCCCCCATTCCTCTCCACATATTAGTCCCCATGCACGAGCCTCTAACCTCTGAAGCTCCTCACACTGGTAGCCCCAGGGTTGAGGCCTCCGCAGCACGGGCCGCTCTCGTCTCATGTAGTCCCTGCTGAAAGAGGTAGGAGGTGGAGGTGCTGAACCAGCTAGGTGCACAAGAAGCTCAAGGACTGCGTCTACTTCCTTCAGGCCAGAGGATGCTCCCTCCGGCAACCTGCCCAGCTGTTCCTCCAACCTCTCTGCTTCCTCTCTGCACCCTGCCACTCGCAAGTCAAAACATATCATCAGGACTTTGTTTCTGGGTGGTGTATTAGTTGTGGCACTTGATCCTGAGGTAAACCCTTTTGTGCCATCTTGAAACAGTTTAGACAGCAGGGCACCATAGGCACGCTTCTTGAGAGCTCTGCGGAAATCTTCTCTTGAGACTGTCCGCAGGGCACGGCGTTTCCATGACACTCCAGACAGGCTGCAGTCGCACAGGGCACCCAGCAGTTCAGTGATGCTGCTGCTGTTGCAGCAGGACTTCATGGGGTGGTTAGGGTTCAGGTACATGGTGCCACTGTTGCATCATCATGTTTTATTGAAGAAGAAGAAAAAAGGTCAGAACTGGAATACACAGCACACTATACACACAACTGGAATACACAGCATACTATACACACAGCCACTATGTCATAGTGTATGTTTAGCTAAACTTTACAGAGTATCAGAAACCAGATATATTCACCATTCAACCGAGATTTCTACGGCAGACGTCACCTCTTACAGTGTACCATTTATTTTAGTTAGCGAAACGTAACATTTAACTAACGTTAACGTCACACAGCACAACACAACACTGCACCAGAGTCAGCTAATGGCAACACGCTAACAGGCAACTAGCCAGATTAGCTAACGTTATATGGACTGCACATTTGAAAACCCACTGTCGTTGAGATCTAAAACGAAGCCTCTTTTAATTATTTACCCACTCGAATTGGTGTGCTATCAGTTGGTTCAACTAACGTTAACAGCTCCAATCTTGCATCCACCGCAGATGACTCCTTCCCGGGCATGCTAATGCCTGTTATTAGCAAACTACTCTTGGATCAGTTAGCTTTCCAACTTAATTTATTTGGGAAACATACTGTGTCCAAGTGCTGGTCCCTCTAAGCAACTCCAAGACTATTTTTTATTAATCCATGGTTTCTTGTTCCAGCATATAAATAACCATTCATGTGTTGATGGTACTGACGCTACCTACAATCAAGCTAGCTAGCCATTTGCTTCATTCATCTTCCTTCATTTGCGGCGGGTATGCAACAAAATAAGAATCAGTTCCCTTGAATCTGATTGGACAATACCATGTTTACCCTCCTGTGATTGGCTAAAAATGTTGTGGCATCTATGCTGATTGGTCAGCCATGTTGGTCAATCATAAGGTTGGAAATGCTGCCACCGCGCTTTGTAACATTCAGGTGATAAGGAGGAAAATTGAGTAAACAAACAGAATGATTTCAACTTTTGATAACTCTTAATAATTCCAGAACATAAACAATAGCAATACTAGTATGGCATGCAATAAGGGCGAATGCAAATGACCGCTTCCTATAATTCAATAAACATAATGGTTTAAACTTTTGATAACTCATAATAATTCCAGAAAATATAGAACAGAAATACGTGTATGGCGTGTAATTTGTAGCTGACACTTTAACACCTGTGCTGAGAGTGATCAATAGGCAAAACAATCAATATTTAGAGAATTCCGCCACAGTGGGTGAGTTAGCCTACTTTCAATTTATCTTAACACATTGGCAGTTTGCTCCCGTGGGCAGTGAACGTAGCAGCGGAGTATTGAGAAACGGGGGCTTTAGAAAGTTATGAGTACACTCACTTGATAGCAAGGGTTACGCACGCTGGAAAGATGAATTGTAATGCTGTATTTTGTGTGGCTTTATAGGCTTAATAATGCATCTGCGTGAAGGATAAGTTCCATCTTTTTCCACTGTATTAAACCATTTAGTCATCTGTACAGCACCAGACAAGGTTTGCAAGCATTCCACGCGATCTTCAACGATTCGTTTTGCGTAATTACGCACTGGGCTGACTATGAAAGTTTAAGTATATCTTAAAATAGGCTATTAAATATTTGTTTTTATGCATAGAGGGATACGCTAACATGAGGCTTCAGCAGTCCGAGTCAGAATCAAATGTCATTTCAGTAGACTGCAAAATGATGTCTTCGCATTCCCCTGGTCAATGGTTAATTTATTAATTTTTGCCTTTATTTCGCACCTGGCCAATGTTTTAAGGAATAGTATTCAAGTAGGTTTTGTCCCTCATATTGTATTGGATTCGTGTAAGGAAGGGCTCTCTTCAGGGCCAGTAGATTGTGGACAGGATGAGGTTCAAGTGTAAACAGTAACTCTTTCATTGTACCTGTGTTCATTTATAAACTTTAGAAATATAACTCTATATCATAAAGTATTATCTTACCCTCAGGACTCTGCAGTTCTGCTGATACCCCTCTCCTCTGGCTGTGGGTGCCAATGTTGGCTCCATCTAGATCCTTGTCCTTCAGGAGTCTTGACCTCTTATTTGGTCCTCTCTCTGATTTTGTTCATCCACCTTTCCCCTTCTCTCTTTCTAATGTATGTTTGTTTTCTTCCCCTATATGTGTGAATGATGTGATTGAGTCTTGCCTCTCCTGTGGTTGCATAGTACATATTCCTACTAGGTCTTTGTCTGAAAAGGAAGTCGTATGGCTCAGGTCTACTAGAAGTGCCTTGTCATCCGGGATCTTGCTCATCATACAGTATATGTTTATACAGTGTTCTTCATATATGCTGCAATGTACACATTTTGTCATCCTGATTGTTCAAACCACTGTTAATCTATTATGTTGATTTATTCTGGACACACAGCATATTGTATGTCTGTCAGTCCTGAGGGAGGAACACCCCCTCTGATGTCCTTCCCAAGGTTTCTTCAATTTTTTTCCTCATCACAGGGTTTTGTGGGGGAGTTTCCTTATTTGATTGGAGGGTCTAAGGACAGAGGTTTTCAAATGTTGTAGAGATTGTAAAGCCCCTTGAGCCATTTTTTTTTGTTTTGTGATATTGGACTATACAAATAAAAATGGATTTGACTTACAAAATAGTGTACAAAACCTGCTGTTCTTTTATGCAGTGAAATCTTTTGGAGTAGGAGGATGGGTTGTGAGTGAAAGCAAGAAAACATTCTACTATAGCAAATCTTAAAACAGTTTCCACTGGGCATAATACATTTATCATTAATAAAGTCTGTATTGATCTACAGAATCAAAAATATAACCTAAGTAACCAAAGGACAACTGTTGACTAATAGTGAACATGTTAGTAAGTCATAGCTGTCGAAATGCACAAATAGGCCTGTTGTCTTCTACAATAATTTAATAATAATTTTGTCAGTACACACAGATCATCATCATGTGGTTGGGTGTTTGTGGTTTGTAACAGTGCATCTCCCATAGAATTGGATTTGCTTCTCTGCCCATTAAATTCACTCCTTAAGGGAGAGACTACAGCTGATTTAAGTACCTGCGAATATAGCCTGGGGAGCTTTAAAAGAGTTTAATTTCAACCTACTATAAAAATTATGCAGGTCTAAGTCTGTTAAAATGCAAGCTACAACCTAACAGGATATTTTAATTTGCTCTCAGGTAATCACTAAGCTTAGAGAGCCCTGGAATCAGCTACTGCTAGATTTTAAATTATTCACCAGAACAACTGTTTAAAATTACACCACACCATCATTGTTTTTATTTTCACCAGGTTGTCCTCCTCCTCTTCCCCTAAGGCAGAAGAAATCAAAGCCAAATCTCATTAGAAGGTTTGAAACATGTGGTGGTGAAACACAACCTGCTGTTATGAGAAGAACTTAAAAACATGCAGATTTCAACTCACATTCTTGTAAGAAATCCTGCAAAGAGGCTGACTTAAAATAATTATTCTTTGTGTACAGTGACATTGATTTCTAGACTTTGAAGGGCATGATTATTTAGAAATCTGATGACAAGTGCAGTGCCTGGCAAATAATGTTGACTCCAAAAATTATGCAAGCTTCATGTTTTAATAAAAATATAAAGTACACTATTGCCTTTGAATTTCCACTAGTGTGCAAGATGAGGTACTTGTGATAATAAAGTATAATCACTCTTGCTTTGGCAGCATCCCCTTGGAGTTACTCTTATCCGTTACTGCATCAATAATCAGTTCAGTTAGAAGATGGTGTGCACAGGCATCTGGTCTGTCTTTGATATCTCCACCCAGTGTTGGGGTTTGTTAAGCAGTCAGATGAGGCAATTCTGCCTTTCATCTTTCTTTTTTCTAGTTTAATTTTTAGCTGACATTACCTAATATTTTTGCTTCAATTTTTCAGCCTTCATTGCTGATGACAGAGATGCTGTGCAGCTATTCACAGTACATTATCAACTTGTTTCAGACATTGGCTTCTAGTTTGTATTCTAAGCCCTGTGACAGGAACCTGATGTGGCATTTGGGAAAAAGCATCAGCCACCATAGGGTATGCTGCATAAGCAGGCTGATGCTATCGAGAAAGTCGTTTGAGGTCAGGCCACGCAAGAATATCTGTGACAAGAAAAAAAAATGGTCAGATTCAAGCACTTCACCTTAATAGAGTAATTGCTTGGTTTGAACAAGAGATTTTCATAAATCCACTTATTACTCTTGCCTTTGTAGAAGCTCTTTAGTGAATCTAAGGTACTCTAATGAGCTGTATAAATACAAAACACTTAAAACAAAGATTTAGTTCACTTCAACAAGAAATTGCCTATCTACAGCAAGTGTTCTCTGTCACCCAAGGTGATTGTAACTCATGCAATATGCATGGGAGGCAAGCAAATCAATATTCTAAAAGTGAAAGAAACACAGCAGATATGAAGGGCATATATGTCTCTGAGTTTATTCATGGAGGAGTGTATGATGAAACCTGTGGGTAATTGCCTGTCCACACTCAACCTTTGTAAAACGTTCATCCAGTACAACCAGATCAAGTACAAGATTGAGAATCTTCCGAGCTGCCTTGGATGGGAGAACATTTGCTTCCAATAATGGTCTTGTACAGAAGAGGAAGTGTCCTGGTTTGTTTTATCAATACAGCACATTCACAAGTTTCAAAATGGAAAAAAGTCTCGACAACTGCACAAACAGTTTTTTTTCTCTTTTGTTTTTTGTCCCAGGACTCAATGCATAGGAGTATACAGTTAGAATACGGTATTTCAACATGTTTTACAAAGATTTATATGGTATAGGAAACAAGAAATAAAAGTAACTGCACAGCAGTAAGAAAGGTCATTTGTCGAGTATAGATAGTCATTTATCGTACACACTGTGGAACAGCTTGGAAACACATGGCAAAAAATTAACACCATTGGAACAATTTTGCACTATATTCAGTCTACATAAGGATACCCTTTTGACTTCAGACTAATTTAGGAATGGCAGACATTTTCAAGGGAAACCCAAATCACATTGGCCACTGTTTTACATTTATTCATTTTGGCGTTTTGCCTTAGTCATCAAAGTCCTACTAAGCACACACCACAGACACCCAAAGAAAATGCACACATCAAAACTGCAACCATTAAAAAAAATCTTACTGAAATGTCTTCAGCCTATTGGCACGCAAATGGCTGCAGCAGGGTATCTAGCACATATAATATCAAGTCCCAGTACAATTCTGTGTCTATAGCACTATCTTCATCATAATCACCTAGGTTACCAACAGAATAATTTAGAAACAATATATAGGTATCATCCTATTCAATAAGGCACATTTTTGGTTAAAGAAAGGCTCTGAAAGAAGCTTCTTGCATCAGATCTGTCAGTGAGAAAGGAGTCAGCAGTAAACAACAGCGGAGACAAGGATGGAGTCTGCAGTCAGTGTGCAATTAAGATCAAAAGCCTCCCCTGCTGTTTCCATTATTCAGAGTGTCACTCTGCATGGCGCTGAGTGGGCAGTGCCAAGTGCTGTTGGTCGCGATGCCAGGGTGCCATGCTGAGACAGCAGGCAGGCAGGCTCGAGGTCTGTGCAAACCTCTCTAGCCACGGCAGGAATCATTAACATTCTGGGGTCTCTGGAGCTCATTATGCTCTGTCAACTACACACATCCATGATCAGATACAGGGAGAACAATTAAATCATCTGTCAGCAGCAAAACCTACAATTTAGAGATGAAATGCGGTGGCACCTAATGGCCCGAGAAACATCAAACCCTCATTCCTACCTTGTCGACACCTCAGCTCTGACACCGACATATCAGTTTCCAATTACTATAACAATTATGTATGCGATTGAACCTGACCTCCCTAAAATCATGCAAAAGCTAAAACCACTGTAATTTGTTCAAAAACATATTTAAGTACCAACTGTGTCAGATTAACATCATATGCAATAGGCTATTTCATAGCTTTAGAGGCAGAATGCTTGATCCCTATTTGGGTAATACTAAAATTGCACTAAAAACAATAAACACTAACAATGCATGAATTCCATTTGGATAACATATTGCTGAATTGCTACTGTATGTGAATGCATTTAGTAAGCTAATGCGACTGAATGTGGCTCATTGAATTCTGACATTATTGCAGAGCTAATATGAGTGACATGGCTCCATGGCAGAATAAAGCTGCTTCTTGCTGACGCATTAAAAAACATTTTATGCAAAGAAAAATATCTGAAAAGAGTCATTAACTGAAATGTCTTTACAAACTTCTGAAATGTCCTTCTGTGCTTTAGTTGGAGTGGAATGTATCATGGCACTGTACACTAAAGGGAGACAGACTGTGCTATTATTGATTTCCACAAGCACAAATGGCAATTCAGCCTGAAGCAAATCTGAATCAAAAGCAGGGAATTTAACTCAAACATTTCTGAAACTTCTGGTGACCTGTCATTCATATGAGCCTGTACATTACTAGATTAACCAGTGTCCTTGTGGGGACCCTTTGGTCTCTGTCAAAAAGCTCGATGAGAGTGCAGGCTCCAGTGTGTCACTGGGTACAGGGGGGATTAAAATGACAGAAAGCAGGCGTCCCTTTCACCCTCACGCCTGACAGTAGGCATCCTGTGTGTGCACATACATCCCCAAACATTCACACACTTGCAATCCACACAAACACATACTCAATTTTAGCAATGCACACTCTTGTTCACATGTTGTACTTCACGCTGACAACTACGCACACACAGGCTAATAAAAACACTATCTGTACCACAAGGTGATCCATTTAAAAAGATAATTTTTTTCTTATAAAGCTTTCCGCATAATAACTGCACGATAAAAAAAATATATAATACAATTCTTAAAACCTTTTCTACACAGAAAGACATTGAACATCTGATTATCTCCCATGCCAGTGTTCCACAGATGGGCTTAGTTCTCAGAAAGAGGTCTCTCGCTCTGTAGTGTGGGAGCAAAATTCAGTGAAGAATGAGTGAGCATGCAGACCTTTAAGGTTTGGCAAGTGAGCTTTAAGGCGTACCTATGACAGTGTAACCCATCATTGTCTTCCTCTTTTTGCTCTCTTTCTGTATTTCATTAGTCCCTGTTATTCCACAACTCAGAAAATTGTCCCAGGGGCAAATTTTACAATATACCTGGCCCACAAGACCCTTCTTACCTTTCCTTATACCATGATTTATTCTCTTAAAAAAAGAAGGAAGAAAGAAATAAGCCCCTGTAGTCACTGGCTGTACCATTCCCCTCCCTCCCTCCCTCCCTCCCTCCCTCCACTTTGTGGGTTAGAGATCAGTCACTTTGTTTTCCAGGGCGGCTGCTATCTGCTGGTGCCGCAGGGTTCAATGTTTTCCATCAGCTGTTTACTCTGGGCAGCTGGGTCCTCGTCTAAGGATGTGATGATCTGCGAGGCAGAGGGAAGGTGAGGAGGACAAAAATGGAGAAGAATGACAGATGTCGGAAATAATAAGTGAAGGAAGAATAGGGCAGAGGAGGGCAAAGGAGAAATGTAGGGAATGTGAAGAAACAAGGAGGAGGATGGAGAGAAAATGAGTGCAAGACAAAGTGGAAGAAAAGAATGTAGAGAATGGGAGGAGAGGATGGTGTTACTTGACATAAATAGTTGTATAAGCTGTTATTTTGTGCGCCCCACTTTGGGGAGACTGACAGCCCCATTTGTTTATCCAACTTGTTCATTAGGTTTTGTTTATCCGCTTTTCGTGACCTCAAGTAGCAATGCACAATGGACGTTTAAAAATCAATTCCCAGAGCAATTTTCCAATTCATATCCCACAGAAATGCTTTCAATTAAAATTTTATACAATCACTCTTCTGGCATATCAAGAGTGAAGAGAAAAAAAGGAAAAGCAATAATATAGTGGGCAGTAGTGCATTCAGTGGAATAGCCCTCCTTTGGGTGCGATATGAAAGACAAGGCCTCTTACCCCATCATAGTACTTGCTGGCATACTGGTAAAGCTGATGGAGAGCCACTTGTGTGTTCAGTTTGTCTGTGTGGGACTGGAGAACAGAAATGACAATTTAAAACACCACCAACTTGCATGAGCAAACTACTTTTTGATTGCAGGTTATAAAAAGCTTTGCCAAAAGCTATTATAAAGTCATAAACCTTAAGATTTTCATGAAATCAAACCCTGTTTAGGGTCAGCATTCTTTCAGAAATAGCTACCTAATGTATTTAAATTAAGTAATCATCTCTCTAAATAGCAATTTTCACTGATATTGGTGGACTTCCTGCACAGAAGTCGAACAGCTTCAAAGAAAACAAGTCATGTACTGATGTAGTCCAGCAGTTTTTGATGCCAGTCTCACTGTTAAGTTCACTCTGTTAACATCAGAGTTGTATTTTAGGAGTACTCCCCCCTTTTATCATTGAACTCTTAGAACATTGCGGAATTCATGCTGGTGGACAGAAAAAAAAATGATCAAGATCAATACAGCAGAACAAGAGTTTTGTTTTTTCATTCCATAGATTTTCTTATCCTTGTCAATACTTGCTACCTATACTACCCAAACCGCAGCTCAATCACTGACAGTTTGGTCAAAGATCTGGGTGTGTTCTGTTTACTGTATAGTGGCTAATGTAGCCTCAGGCCACTACCTTCAAACAAAGATGAGGAGTGGACTATAGAGGTCTGGTAATCTTCACATCCATCACATTCTGCTCTTATCCATACACCAGCTTTTCCTCCTCAGCCAAGTGTGAATGCTTTTTTGTTTTATTTCACTTTTTTTCTGAATTTCTGGAACGTTCACTCAGTTTTTATGTGCAAACTGAAACTGCACATAAAACTAGCTGGATGGAGGCACACAGAGTGCTGCTAGATGAGTCGCTGTAGGCGATAGGCTGTTGCACACCTTCACCTCCTCAACAAGGTAACCAGCTCCTGCTACTGTGCTCTGCCACTGAGCGGAAAACTACTCACACAGTGTGCAACATGAAATCAGATTGTAATGGCATATAGAAAAACTGGTTATTCACAGACATCATTAAGCAATGTGAGTTTGTTTGATGCACTTTAAACAAATTTACCAGTTTCTGTTTTGTTGCATTTCTGACAAAGTGGCTCTATTAGTATTTGCTGTTCTACACTGACATAATATTTGTTAAAGCTAACCCTGGTTTAGTTGGTTACATTTGGCACAGCTGATTATGATATTTGGAAAACTGATGAGGCAATCTGCAGCGTAAATTTAACATGAATTCACTCTTTTAGACTGTATTGGCTGTTACCAAGGTAACTACAGATGTTCCCAAATCAACAAGGACTCAAATCTTAAGGATTTTGACTTTAATAGCAGGAAAACTAATAGCAAGTTGAACTAAAAACACACTAAATATGCAAAGAAAATAACAGCAGTTTCTCTTACCCGTGACACCTCTGCCAGATGAGTGTTCATGTCTTGGTCACTAACGGGTACCATCTGCCTGATGCCTTTGTAGTAACTATATATTATACACACACACACACACACGAGACAAGAGGCGCTAACATTATGTAATTATTATTGACAAGTCTTTTACAATAAGCATTTTTAACTGACATGAAAACAACAGGTTGAAACTGTAAATTGCTGTCAGGACTTACTCATCCACCATCTTCTTATAGGTGGAGATCTCCTTTGCATAGAGTAGTTTGTTACTTGGAGAGTCCTAGAGACAAAAGTGGGTATAGAATAGTGAAAACAATGGCACTTCAAATTGAATGATGTTTGACATGTTTTACTTCACATAATCCACTTCTCATTTTCTTCATCTTCCCTCTTTCTCTTTCACATCATTCCTTCTCCCTTGCCACCACCTCCTCCTCCTTCCTGTTTCCACTCACCCGGCTTAGTTTGTGCTCGCTTTTGGTGCAGGCATCCATGAAAGTCTGGGCGATGACGGAGAGCGAGGCGTCCACCACCTCGGACACGTGAACATCGAAGATGAAGTGGGGATTCTTGAGGATGTTGACCCAGAAACGCAGAGGAAGGCTGCACAAGAAAAAGCCCAAGACAGTGGTCTATCATTGTGGTTTTTAATCATCATTATTGCTTCAGAATGAGCAAAAATCTCATCAACCGCATTACATCTATGAATTCATTCGAGTCAGCCAGGCGTTTCATGTATGGGAGCACGTGCCTGAGGTGCATCTGAGTGCAGTACAAGATAATAACATGGATGGAAGAAAAGCCTTTCTTGTAGTTGTCAGTTTATTCAGAACAATCCTCTCAACTGTCTCTTTACATTACTATTTTACATGACACTGACCTCTGTGACAATTACTGCTGTTCACTGAAAATGAAATGAAAAGGAAAAACCTAACCTCAGAAGACTGAGCAATAGTCAATGATGTGTGTCTTCTCTAACAAATAATGCTAAAGGAGCAGCAAAACTTTGACCTTTCAAGTTCCTGTGGAGGCTAACTACCAAAAGCACCGACTACATAAGGTAACACTCGAGTACTCTTGCTAATTTCCCTTCTGAACAAGCCTCATATGTTTCTTTCCAAACTCATTTTAGTACGTGAATTCAAAAGAACACCCAAAATACAGCAGTTTCCAAAAAACTCTCCTCCCTGAATGGTGCAAATACCCCGCCATCTGAGGCATGAAACGAACATTGTGTAAAATTCATACTGGTTGGCAATATCTCCAGGGAAAGCTGTAGTGAGAATACAATAGAAAGCATAAAAATAGCAATGTTGCTATAATCACAGAATTAAATTAGCTTGGGACATAATTACCATGTTTGTTTGTGTTATGCCTCATACACACATTCATATTTAATACATGGCTCTCAGTTGATTTGATAAACAGAACGGGTGGATGCAGAATGTGGTGTGGAGTGTAGTAAGTAATTAAATTGCTCATTTCCCCATCCTTGTGTGGGTGCTCTCTTGCCAGCCTTACGTCAATCACTGGCATCTACATGCAACACGTCGTGTTGTATGCTTGAGCCTTAGCCGACGTGACATTAATTTATGCTTTTAAATGTCACATGGGAGCAGGGGGATTGCAAATGCAAACTAAGGGAGCTGAAATTGTCCATTTGTATTCAGTTCTTTCTTGGATAAGTAAGTTTTATCTCTTGGAGATTTACCGTATCCGGCAGTCGATCTGTTGTGCTGGTCACTGTCAGCACGTGTGCTGAAATTTTCTTAGTTACAGTCAGTGAGGGAAAGTAAGTACATCTACTCAACTTCATTTCACTACACTACAAAACAGAGGCAAATATTATATATTTTTCTATACTACGTTTAGGTACCAGAAACTTTTCGGATTAAGATTTTATTAAGATGCTATAAATACAATACAGTAGTAAAGATGAAACCAGTGGCTTACAAAATTTGAGGATTTACAAACAGGAAGTGACTAGGAGTTGAGATCAGAGTGATCTCCCTGCTCCACTGCTCAAATGGCTTAAGTAAAACAACTTTAGGAGTCCCAAAGAAGTAAAATTATTGAACATTTTATTTTAAAAAGGAGCTAAGATTAGAGAAAAGTCCAAAATCCAAATACAGTGTGGGAGTATTTATTTTTCTCTACTTTTCTCTGCCATTAATCACCTCAGAAACCATCAGATTTATCTTGTGACCCTTTGGAGGGGGCCTGACCTCCAGGTTGGGAACTGCTAGACAAAACTAGATGTTGACCAGATACAACAGTGAAATGGCAACTTATGCACAGGTGCATCATATTAAACTACAGTAATGCATCAGTCAAAGGGGTAAGAGTAACTACTTTTGAAACTTTGAGTACCCCAACTGGTCAAGGCAGAAGGCCGCCCACAAGAGCAAGTGTCTGTTTTAGGTTTCTTCCGTGAAAGGGAGTTTTTCTTTCCTGCTGTCGCCAAGTGCTTGTTCAGGGGGGATTTGTTGGGTTATCCTTATAATAGTGTAAGGTCTAGACCTGATTATGGAAAGTGCCCTGAGACAATTGTTGTTGTGAACTATACAAATAAATTGAATTATATAAATTGAACTTCCTGATCAAACAGAAAAAATTGAAAATCTGACTGGTTAGAGAGGCCAATCCTCCTCAAAACCTTTTAGAAGCCAATAACTCTGCCCTGCTGCCAGTGCTGCTCAGTGAGTCTGGGTCACAGGAGGCTTTGACAGCACCGCTCTCCATACTAACACAAGTTTTAGAGCAACAAAACAACAACAAAAATATCTGAAAAAACTCATTTCTTCTTCCACCACTGATTATTCTACATACAAATTAAATTTTTAATTGGTATTTGCAAACATGCAGGTCTTTTACCTATTAGTCTTCCAGATATGGATGGTCTCCTCATCCATGTTTTGTTTCTGTGCCTGCTCATCAAGGAAGTCAAAGAAATATTTGACAGCTGGTGGCACTACTGCCCCAGAGCACAGCACACTGCGGAAGAAGTCATCCACAAACTGCTGCAGTGTTCCCTGAAAGGGGTCACAAAGAAAGTGAGACAGGGCAGAACCAGAGAACACAGCCAGAAATATCAAAGCCCTCTGATGGAACATATTAAGTATTTCAGCATTTGTTTGCCCAATCCAAACCTAAACCCCATCCATTGAATTTTGTTTTTTAACTGAAAACCTTTCCTGGAAGACAAAATTGCTATTTGCTTAAGTCAGAGAATGAGAATAACTTAAATGTCTGACTGAATAAATGATTCTGTCATTGTACCTTAACAGAAAGGAGTCGTGTTAGATAGATCTCTGTAATGGCTTTGGTCATCGACTTGTCCTTTATGCTTCCTCGTTTAGATTTGATCTCATCCAGTTCCTCTGCCGGCCTCACCAAGTGAAACACCTTGTCATCTTCCAACAGAGCATTTCCTAGCAGAGAAAAACACCAGCTTTTAAACTTTCTTGGAGTGATAATAATCTTTATTTATTCATGTACACCCTTAGAGAACATATTCTGGTTATGAAAAAAGGGAGGGTGTTTATTATCTGAATTTGAATGTAGAGAGGGTATCCAAGTAGAAATGCTAAACAATCAACTGTTCTGAATGCACATAAAAAGGCTGCAGATAAAAGTGCATATTATTTCAGCATAATCTCAAAGGGTGATATACATAAAAAAACATGTATTTGCATGTTAAATGGGAGTGGGATGTTGAAAAAAATTCCCAGGGAAAAGAAACAAAGGCAAGCATTATATTCTCAAGTACACATCTGGTCTGTGCTAGTTTTGGTTCAACAAGTGTGCATGTTTGTGTGTGTGCAGGATGTGTGTACAAAAAGACACTTACGCTCTTCATGGTTTTCCTGGTTCTGGTCATAGTTCTGCTGAGTGTGGGCCATTCTGGATAAGACTAATGTGGCATTATCTCGAACCTGGAGTGCGCATACAGTAACAGTCTTTATTTAGACACAAAGCAAACAACATTTCACACTCACTCCACACACCTCGAAGTGAATAGATACTGTGACTGAGGTCAGCAGTCTCTTTTAGCACCCCAGAACTAATTAATAATCAATGTGGCTGAGTGGACAGCAACAGTGGGTCTTTACTTGGGTATTTACAGGCCATTTTCTTTGGCGTCAACCCATTATTGACCCCTCAAATACTGTGATTAGCACTACTCTGACAGCCAGTGAATCTATAGTAGCAAGGCTGTCCTCTAAGAACAACTGTGAGACACCAGTGGGTAGGATAAAAGCACGAGGAGTGTGTTTGACTTAAGTGGTTAAAATGCAGGACAACTGGGGGGATATTTGTCAGTGACCTTTATTTTGTGAGGATCAATACTGTGCCAAGAAGATTTACTGGCATTTTGTTGTCACTGAGCTGACAAGGCAGACCTGGCACTGGTGGTGAAAAATAAAAATTTTAGGCAGTAAGCTGATTATTCAAACAGGCAGGTTCAAACCAGAATATAGCACGAAAAGAGGAAACATATCAGTTTTATGCTTTTTCTTATCTAATTTTAGTTTTTATTTGTGTCTATATTTGAGTCTGAAAACCTGCAGATTTCACATGCGCCACGTGGAAAGATGTACAGAACAGTCTATGAAAATGACCAAACCCCATTCCCATCGACATGCCAACATACAGCTTTTCACTCTTTCTCTGCCTGCTCACATCCCTTGCAATTTTCAATCTTCCCTTATTTTTTAATATGCTGCGCCAAGACACCAAATTTTGTCAGTACTCACGTTATAGTGTGCCAGAGTGTTGACACGTTTCCACCTGCCCTCTTTCTGGGATGTCAAATCCAGATCTGACAAAATCTGCCCCGTTGAGCCCGGACGCCACTCTGTGGTGAATGCAGGACGAGAAAGTAAATCAAAGCTGAAATTATGTCTGCTAGGTGGAGGTGTACTTTACTGTTTAGCAAACTGTAACCAAATTTCAGTATTTTTTTTTATACCAATTATATTTATTTCATCATGAATCATGGTTACCCTGAGGTTGTCTTGTAATAATGTGGTCTTAAATAAATCCATCCTACTGTCTGCCTAGCTCTCCCTCCTGGGATTTAGTTATACACTTGCATTACTGTAATTTGGGGTGAGAAAGTAACAGATCAGTATTATCTGAATAATTGAAATCTAATTTTGAACTGTGATTTGCACCCAAACATTTTCAATTTTAGAAAAATCTGACACCACTGCAGACCTGAGCTCAACACCATCTGCGACATATGATTCATTTACAAGTTGCACCAACTATAAAGGGAGTTATCGTTCTGATTCACCGTGAAAGAAGACAGCTCTCTGCTTATCTAAAATGTATAAAGGAGTGAGATCTACAGCATGCATGGGAATAAAAAGTGCTTTGATGTTGAAAAATGTCTATAGAGCTTTAGCCTTTCAAGTCAGTCCCCAAGGCTTCTGATTACAGTAGTGAGCAAAACTTTTCTTCATGTTTCTGACACTGAATAACTTCTATACCTCAGTAAAGCATTTCAGAGAGACGGAGATCTTTTACAATACTCTATCAGATGAAGGTAAAATTAAATAAATATTTAAACATTTATTTAGATAATTGCATTTTATAAATGTATTCCAGTCAGGACTGAAAAATCTTCTCCACTGTGACATCCTTGCCACTGCCACTAACCATTACATTTTACTCATTATCCACTGAGATGACCCTCATTTACTCACCCAGCGTGACACTGTCGACCTTGGGCCTCAGGGAATATGGCAGGTTCTTGTACACCTGCTCTATGATTTTCTCTTTCACCTGGGAGATGGTGTCACAGTTCAGCACCTTGACAGGTGTCACATCTGGACCCTCGCCATGCACCAGCACTTGAAGGGTCTGGCAAAGACACACAGATGCACATTGCTGTAGGTCTGTGTTGCGATAGCATAGGCACCTACTGTACACATACAAATAACAAATATGCAGAAACATTCCAACATGGCCAGAGTACCCAGACATCCACCCACAAGCATACAACCACACACACACACACACACACACACACACACACACACACACACACACATATACTGGGCTCTATTGGGATGATGTCGTCATAGCAACCAAGTTTCTTTAAGTGCACATACAACATGCACTGACTCTGTGGTGACAGCTGACAGGACTCCTGTCACCTTGGCCAGCTAATGACCAAGGCTCAGTTGGAGTAAACTCTGACCCACCTCACCTCCCACACTCACTCACTCTGTCAGAAATAACTAACTGACCACTCAGCTGATTCAAACAGGGGGCAGGCAGTCCAATCACAACAGCAACCTCATAAGCCCATCTCTATTTGAAGTGAACGGGAAGAGCACACTGCCAGTAAAAGGCAATAGGAAACACCATCTCTCCCTGTGAAATCCTGCTCATTATGTTTTTTTCTCCCTTTATAATTCAATCACAGAATGTGATCCATCATCGCAGGAGACGTGTAATTCAGACTTATTTGATAATTGTCCTCGACAACGCCATTGCCCAGGGGTCTTTTTATTTGTGCTGATCTGAACAAAAAACAGCTGTGTTCAGAATCACTTCCATTACTGAAACGCGACAAAGCAAGACACACAGGCTTTCCCTGACTCCTGAAAGCTGCCCAAATGGATACAGAGTAGGTGCGAGTTGGAAGGTCGAGGTAGGGTCACGGGGGTGGCTTGTACTCAATAGTTGTACCAACTTGTAGTACTTTCACCTAAGCCACGCATTACACTGCTATTTTGGAAAGCGTTGCCTGTGTCGTTTTCAAGCCGAGAACATTGACACTGAAAATGGATGTCACAAAGAAGCGGGCAGCCGCCTGAGGTTTTTTTGGGGGGTCTGTTACCATGGCAACTGCAATGTGTGTTTGTGTGTGCGTTTGTGTTGCTCAGCAGGCACAAAATAAATGAAATCTCAAAGCAGTGTGTGCAATTTTTGGGCTGTGGAGTTTTTATGCATGAGTGTGGGGTGTGTTTGTGTGTGTTTCTGTTCATCTCACCAGGACGGAGTATTCTACGTCGTCGCCCAACAGGCCGGTGTCGTTGAGAGTGTACTTGGCTTTCTTCAATCTGGCATCCACGGGCCCTTTCTCGATCTGGTGCTTGATGGCTCGGAACAGTTTATACAAGGGCTCGCCTGCAGAGTCCTGATACACACACACACACACACACACACACATAAAAACACGTGGTTGTTGCAGGCATTGTCAACAAGCTAACTGTTGTGATTAGTAGCTTAGAAGACAGATAAATGCACATTATGAACACTAGAAAAGGATGAATCCATAAACTGAGCCCATGGTTTAATACATGTCATTATACACATTTCCTACATGGGTGATGAAGCTGATTCACTGCTGAACTAATTATCCAATATTTAAATAAGACTAAAATGATTAAAAAATGTATCTTTCATAAGAGCTACAACAAACAATAATCTTTTTATTTTATTATTGATTTAACAGTTTGTTCTACGACACATGAGAAAACAGTGAACGTGTCCATTGTTGCCCTGGAATCAAATGTGCTGCCACCAAAAGTCTTGTTTTATCTGAACAACAACCTAAACCCAAACATTTACACACTACAACAGGGTTAGGGTTTGACTGATTTTTGTTCAATAGACTGACTGATCTTTGAAGCTCTAGTCATCATATTACATTTCATACATTCTAAGCCCACTTTACTGTACCTTCAAAAACTGGTAAAGGCAGATAGACATCCAATTACACAGCATTCTTTCCACCACTGTCTCTGACCTGGAAAACATAGTACATCGTCATTATAAGAAAAAAAAAGTTAGAATTTAGATGTATTATTGCTGTGTGCTAAGTAATGCAGACATTACATTTGACTGAGAATTCCAAAAAGTAATATTTTATTAGTGTTTTCATATCATGCCATTTATAGTAAATTCTTAAGAATTTGACACTCATGTCACTTGTCATATTTTGCATTATATTTTATGTATTTATTGTGCTTTATGCTCAGTGCTCTGGTGCTTTGTTTTTTTTTGTTTTTTTACCTGGCTCCAATTTCCCTTTGGGGACAATAAAGCTGTCTCTATACATAAGGTCCAAGTTGAAAGAGAGGTAACACATTATAGACTGTTTTCCTTGTATCATCTTGAAGTTTCTGAAATGCTACTTTCTTAAGACTACATCTACTAAATGTCAACAAGGGAAACTTCTGCATCGCTTGACTCTGTCATGATATTTCAATTCAAAACTCGTGTCAATGGTCACTTGACAGATCACCCATCCTAATGTCGGATATCCACTGGTGGCGCCCATTGTTAGCTGTTAGCATGCCTAATTAAATGTCTTGTATATAAGGGGGGCTTGTGTTGGCACAATGGCCTAATCAGCATAATGAGCCGCTCCACTGGGAGATAATTAAGACGTATACTTGCATAACAGCCAGTCACATCATGCCTAGCCACAGCAGATCACGTAGCCGCCTCCCAGCAGTGATGAGTGACTGTACTGTCAGACAAGTGGGCCCTGCTGAGGGAGGGCTGGCAGCCATCAGTGGATCATTTGACCTTGACACAATCATTACAGTGAGGAAACTAAAATTGGAAACTTTTTTTTTAGGGCTATTTACTTTTTATTGGTCAGCTGATGGTTTAGAGACTCTAATACAAGAAAGAATAATAAAATACTCTCAAGGGAAAAAACACAGGAGTTAATAAAAACATCCATAGTATTTGGCAGCTCCTTACAATATCAATTTATTTTACAAGTATGAGTGATACTCAAATTTCATGCCAGTCATAGTATTTTTTAAGATACTAATACAATTTTACAATATAACAAAAAGCACCAAATGTAATTTTAACCTGCATCTTATTGATCAAAAGCTACAGGATAAGATGATGGAGGAGGACAGCAAAAGAAGAATCACCCAGCATGTTATGGTTGAACTCCAAGGAGAGAAAAAAGCAGAAGGAGAAACAGAAGGAGGGAGAGTGGAACAGACCGAGCAGCAGCCTGGCTCTTGATAGTGGACTACAGGATTCAGTGCAAAATTCAACAGAAAACATGGCAACACAATTATATAGTCCACCACATTTTGAACTGAATCCCAGTCCTTCTAAACTGGTTGATAATATCAGTGCCAGGGTTTAGATATGGGGGTGATTCTGATTATAGAACTGAGAAAGGACGACAATAGACAATCTTAAGAGAGCCAAACAAGACTACAGCCTCGTAAGTGGCTTTGTGAGGATGTAATAAGGCGGTGACACTATGCGTTTAATGCATGCGAACGTTACCATGCTAAAACACTCCTTATGACAATGTTGTTATGTACACAACCACAGTAAACAGTATTGTGTACTATGGTTGTCATTTTAGGTTACCATTTTAAGATGCCAAAGGTTGCAAATTAGTATTAAGACTAAAGTACAACTGAGTTGCATGAGAACATTGTTAGTTTTGCAGGGATTTGGTCATAAACAAAAATACTGAGTAACCTGAAAATTTGACCCGATGAGGAGAACATGAATATTTGCACAAACTTTTGAAGCAATCAATCGGATAGTCGTTACAATGTTTCATTCAGACTCAAAAAAAGTCAATCCTGTCATGACCTTGCAGGAAAACTCAGTGGATTTGGATTAATTCACTGTGGATGATGGATGCCTCTACAAAATGTTGTGCCAATCCATCTTGTTCATGCTGAGATCTTTCACTGTGTAAAAACAAACTGACCTGCCGGTGGTGCTGAGCAACTGATAAGGGATCAAAGTAACTGTGGTTCACCCTCTAGAGAACTCTACATATTTAATGGAAATCCATCCAAAATGTTATTTCAGCCTGAACCAGTGTGGCGGACCACCAATGAGCCTGCTTTGCCATCCCTACAGTCAGTCTGCTAGTGTAAATAAAAAGCATCCTATTAAAGCTACTTGGGGCTAACGTTCTGATCCGTGACTGCACCAGCATCTGCTAAGCAACAGACCCGAGTTGATCCTCACCTGCGCAGCATAAGTTTGGGGTTCTTGCTGTGGACGTATTCCTCCATCAGCCCTAGCAGCAGCGTTCTCATAATGTCAGTGTAGTATTCCAGTTTCCCATGCAGAGCCACTGTCAGCAGGGAGGCAAAGTACACCCTGGCCCTGGCGTTAAAGTCATGACTGCGCTCCAGGGTATGTATAAACTATAAACACACCACCACACACAAACAGAGAGAAAAAGGCAAGTGAAATTAATGATGAAACCCACACACAGATGAGCAAATCCAGCATAATATGCTTTTAAATCATCAAAATACTAATGCTAGTGAAAACAGTGATTATAAAGGTAAATTTAGTTCTGCCCTATAAAATACAGTGGCTTAGAGAAGATACCAATTAGCTGAAGAGGAATCACCCACACATATGCAATTAACACGTAAGAGGCCATTTTTGTGCCAGTGATATTGTATTATTAGGAATCTTCACGCATCTCCCTCTGCTGTGTGTTCTGCTTCTCACTTCTAATACTGTACTCCACTAACTAAAACATCATATGGTTTTCAGTGCAGGGGAAGACAACTTGAATTTAAAAGAGATACAAAAGACCTCATAGGACAGAGACTGTGGTAAAGGCAGATTTTATAAACATTCAGCGATGGAGGGGAGTGTGCAGCATCTGTTGTGTGTCCAGACTGGTGATTTTGTTAAATATTTATTTAAGTACCTAAGGATTAGGCTTTATTATTATCAAAAAACTGTCTAGAAAATCAAAACCAACAATGAATGTATCCTTTTTGCATTTTTGAAGTATTGCTTGTGTAGTTAAAGCCTGATGTAGCATATGGCTCCGTACCATAAAACTCAACGCAGCACTGTTGACCAAACATTGTTAAATCACATAAAACAGTAATACTGCTGCACCGAGTGACATACTCCTTTATTTACATAAAACAACGTAGTTCAGTTTATTCACAAACAACTCCACAACTGCCTTTTTGATTTCTGAGAAGCTCTAAATCAGGGAGATATTACTACCTGTGCTCATGGATAAAAAGGTTTCTGCAGCTTTGCTAATGTGATGAGATGAGAAAATATTGCTAAAAACACAAACAAATGAAACACTGTATACTTATACACAGTCAATTTGTATAAAGTGAACAAATTATTATATGACTGCTTTAGAAGAGTTCTCAGTTGCTAGCTGGAGGTGCATGTTGATGTCAGCATGCTGACATGCTCACAATTACAATGTTAAAATGACAGGGTTTAGTAGGCACAGTGTTTATAATGATCACCGTCTTAGAGTGACCAGATTTTGGCACAAGAGGAAAAGTCAGTGGATCATCAAAGTTTTTACAAGTTTTTATAAATAGGTTTTTATGTGTGTACCAAATTTCATGACAATCCATCCTACAGTTGTAGATACAGTATTTAAGAAGCACAAATCTCAACCTCCAGGTGCTGTCAGAGGAAAGTTAAGGTGATCACAAAAGTCATACATCATCTCAGAACAATGAACCTCTATTGAGAAAGCAGTGGACCAAATGGCAGTGACGTCTCTAGAAGTCTGCTGCTAGAGTGTGAAAATCCAGATCGTACCCTGCATCAGTCACTTTGTGAAGCTCTAATGTCGAACAGCTGTGTTGTAAACACAGCTGTAAACTCTCTGTGTGTGCAGCTGACCATTTAATGATACATATTTAAAGTAGGTAAAGTATAATTACATTAATAAGGAAGGTCTTGGAGTTCAAGAGGTTTGAGAACTGGTTGAGTGCCTGGGTCACTGTGGCCCGTCGAGCCTCTGGGATGTCTAGCTTCCCTGTGATCATCACATCATTGGCACCATCCTTAGAGGGCAGGAAGAAGACCCGGTCAGTGTAGGTTTTATAGTCCAAGAATGGGATTCGTCCTTCGCTCAACTCGTTGGTGTGGTCCTCCATCTCGATCATCAAATCTGCAAGAGAGAAAAAAGGATTACTGTTCATTTTTTATTAACCAGAATTTGTCATTTGTGCACTGCTTGTCTGTCTCAATCACTGTTGCGTGAGGCAGAGAAAATAATTTTAGCTGTGAAAGATTGCCTTCTAGTACTGTTACTGAAAAACGGCTCCTCATAATGATGATAACATAATGTTAACCAAGAGAGCTTATTTAATTCACTGCAGTACAATATATCAAAGAAATGTAATCAGAGCTATGAAGCATTTCATGAGTTTATATTCTTCAGAAACATGGATCCTTTGAGGGGCATAAGCGATACTTCAGAGCTTGTGGACAGCTGTTCTTTTGGTACCTGTAAATTCCTTCTTGCAGCGATCTCGTACACTCTCCTCCAGATTCTCGAGCTGATGTTTCACCTTCTCGTACTCCCTCTCTGCCTGTTGACTCTTTCTCCTGAACAGACAAACAGATAGACTCAGGTGTCATTAAACCAATAGTTTGTCAAAGGGCAGTGTTTCAGCTTTTTCAAAAATAACTTGATGTCTTTAATTGTTGTTCAAAGACTAGATGCTCTAGATTAGGAAGGCTAATTTGCTTATTTGGCATTTTCTCAGTGTCACAAATATATTGCTGCCATTATTCCATCTCTGTGAGCATGCTGTAGGTGTTTTAGGAATATTTAGCAAAAATGTGCCAGTTTAACTCATGCATGATATATTAACTACCAAATTAGATTTTTTTTTGAGAACCTCTAGGATACATACTGCACACTAAACCTGTGAAACTGAACAGTAAAAATAAGAAGCATAGGCTATAACAGTTATTCGACAGAGCCTACAATAATAATATACAAATACCATTTGAGGAAAAAAATACCATAAACAAAATGATAACTGCTAACAGATTATTAGTGCTACACTGGCTTGAAATGAAAAGTATGTGCTAGTGAGCTGGAAAATATATATATTTTTTCAATACCAAGATATTTCTCTTAGCGCATTGCTTGACACTAACAAGGAATGAATATAATGTGTATTTATCATGTGTGAGCTTTTCATTTTTATTTTGTTATTAACCTCTTCCTTTATAATGCACACCAAATAATGGCCCTACAGCAATTCAAACCAGGACTGAAGTGAAAACCTTAATGATCTGAAATAAAACTATGTAATAAAGGATCACCAGTAGGTTACAGCCCACTACAGCTCATTATTTTTATTGAGAGTGCTAGCTGTGCTGTGGATCTAAATTTGTGAACCAATCTTTTTGTGACAGAATAAAATTAGCAAATTATTTCAACATTTTAAAGAATTTCAGCTCCAAACAGTAAGGAAGTAGCTCTAATTCCAACAAACACCAGTTTTAAGGGGTCATAAGCCAAAATACCTGAGGCTGGAGACCACATCCATAAAATATTGTAGGTTTGTGATTTAACTGTTGAGTTGGATGATGTTTTTTTTTATTTTTATAAAGAGTACACAAAAACAGCATTTTCTGCAAAGAAAATTACCTCATAAATGATTATTTTCAGGTTGTGGTCAACAAGCCTAGATAATAAATGTTTCTAGAGCTTCCCTGATCTAAAAATGCAATTAGAAGAAGTTTATTTTTATTAATGTTATTATGAAGTTAACCTAAAAAAGCTTCACTTACCTATAGCAGTAGACGGAGACAGCAATGATGAGCAGCATGGGCACAATCACAGCGGGAATGATAATGTAGAGTGACAAATCATTCTTCTTCTCATACTGCACCGAGCCAACAACCCACTCTCCATTCCCGAACTTGATCTGTGCATAAACACAGAGAGAGCATCTTATTATCTCTACAAGCACTTTGTCTTTTAGTCGATGAAATGTCCAGCAGTGCTGGAGAGGAAATGGTTTACTTAGAGAATCTACATAATTGCCCACAGTTCTGCTAAAGCAGCTGCAGGACTTCTCGGTATTTTTAAAGTGCTGGGGCTATATGCAAGTTGGCAGGTCCACATTAACTGAACAAATGTATAACAGTATTGAGTTTGACACTTTATAATCAAGCTTTTTCTATGCAAGTATCCTGCAGTATTGATAGTCTGGTGGTGTCACGCTATTATGCAGTACACAGAAATGAAACAACAGCTCACTTAGAGGAATTACCCAGAGGAGAGGTTATAGTATTTATCTCAACCATGGCTGGGCTATAATTAAATGTAATTATAAAGAGCCTGTAGCTACATGAAAATTGTTCATCCAGTGAAACATGGGGCCTCAAGTAGTACAGAGGACATGCCTGGAGAAGTACAGTAAAGATTCACGATGCATGCACTCATCTGCAAGTCAGTGTATGTGTATCCAGTGGTGGAGTGTGAGAATTTTCTTTTCATGCCACTTTATGGAGTACTACTCTACTATAGTTTGGAGGGAAATATAATGGTTTTATGTACTAGATTCATCTGACAAGGTTAGCTACTAGTTACTTGACAAATTTTTGCATACAAAACATAGGAACACCTTTGAAATACAGAATGATGCTTTATTATTGATTAAACTATTTTATGGACAATGACACACTGGTCAACAGATTTGAGGATGTAGTTGAGAAGTTTAATAGATTTTTTGTGAATGTGGGTCCTGGCTTAGCAAGTACCATTTGTACACACGTCAATATAAATAACAATACAATTGAAAGGAATATGTGTTCTATGTTTCTGAAGCCAATTGTTGAAAAGGAAATTATAGAGATAGTGAACAAATGTGGTAATAAATCATCCAGTGATAGTGATGGTATCAGTATGACAATGGTTAAATGGGTAATTGAGGAGATATGCAAACCATTAACCCATGTTTTTAACATGTCGTTTCGACTTGGTCAGTTCCCCAATAATATGAAAATAGCAAAGGTTATTCCACTGTATAAATCTGGTGATAAGCACAACTTCACAAATTATAGACCGGTTTCTCTGTTGTCACAATTTTCAAAAATCTTGGAAAAACTCTTTAATAACAGATTAGACACATTTATTGATAGACATAAAATCCTCTCTGATTGCCAATATGGTTTGAGGTCGAACCGATCGACATCT